CGGCGGCCGCCATGTACTGGGCGTTCGGCGACGGACTCCTCGACCATTCAAACGCCTTCTCCCTCCTCCCAAAGACGAGATGGCGCGACATGGCGGTGGTGTTGATGCTGATCCACCAGTTCATCACCTTCGGCTTCGCCTGCACCCCGCTCTACTTTGTTTGGGAGAAGGTCGTCGGGATGCACGACACCAAAAGCATTGCCCTGCGAGCCCTCGCCCGCCTTCCCGTCGTCGTCCCCATCTGGTTCCTTGCCATCATCTTCCCTTTCTTCGGCCCCATCAACTCTGCGGTTGGCGCGCTTCTTGTCAGCTTCACCGTCTACGTCATCCCCTGCCTCGCCCACATGATCACCTACCGCAGCGCCTCTGCACGCAAGGTATCTTCCTCTTTGCCGGATCTCAGTCCAAATTTTCCTTTTGTAGTTTCACTTGAATGACTCTGTGAAATATAACTATAATTGATGCAACACAATCAGAACTTGTGCTGGTTAGAAAGAATGATAGATTTGTCACATGAATGCAATTTTATAGTCAGAGAAATGTATATCATATATTCTATTTAAATTTTGGTTATATGGTTTGATTGTTATTGGTTGTAGAGAGTGTGATTGTCAATTAACATAAGAATTATGGGGCATTTTGATGCATAACACACTATTATTATATCAATCAAGGTTAATTGACGTCGGGCAGAATTAAGAGTTTCCTTGTTTAAATTGTTGAATTAATTTGTGTATCTTAATTGTACGTACACTTTTCTTATAGCTGAATGATTAGATTAGGAATATGTATTATTATAAATTATTATGTATTATTAGGATACCTAAAATAGATTTTAGAGAACACTATAGATTAGAATTAAACCGAAGGAAAAAGAGCATTTAGCCTATTTTTGTTGTGGATTTACATATCTACCGCCTAAACTTTCATATTTACATGCAGCACTTAAATGTTTAATATCACATCAAAATGACATAATTTTGACTTTTTAAAACTAAAATACATATTTTCATGCAATGGTTTAAAACACCAAAGTGTTATTTTGCAAATTTGAAACTTTTACCATTCAATTCCTATGTATTTGCATATCTAACACCAAAATTCCATTTTATTTACATGCCAGCTTATATTTTATTTTTTAAAAGTTAAAATGATGGGACTTGTGATGTGACGCAAAATTTATGGGTGTTACAAATCTAAACAGCAATGTTCAGGTGTTTAGATATTTAAATACAAATGAATAGCCTAGTATGTTTTGTCGATGCATAGAATTTTTGGAAACATTGAATATGGCAAACAGTGGAGTGTGATGTTATTCCTCCATCACTGCCTTTGCCTGATAATCTTGCATTTATAACCTATGGCCTACCTTTGATTAAGCCATTTTAACTACAACTTCCATGTTTGGTATTGTTCTTTCTCTTAGCTTACTGATGCATTATATTTCTTAATTTGTAACTCTGAGAGCAGAACGCAGCAGATAAGCCACCATTCTTCCTGCCCAGTTGGACCGGGATGTATGTCGTGAACCTCTTCATTGTGGTTTGGGTTCTTGTGGTCGGGTTTGGCTTTGGCGGCTGGGCCAGCATCACCAATTTCATCAAGCAGATAGACACCTTCGGACTCTTCGCCAAATGCTACCAGTGTGCCAAGCCTACGGTCTCTGCCCCGCCACCTCGCCACCATTGAATCCCCATCTCACCTTCTTAAGCAGACCGCTGTGCTTTACAGGATGCGTGCTTTTAGTTAGACTTTACTCTAATGGGTGCTCATGTATGAAAGTCAGGCATGGTTTGTTCCTACTGCTGATATATAATTGTACTGTTATTGATCACAAATTTAACAAAGTATTGGTGGTTGTATCGGGCCGCTGCTGGTGGTTTGTTTTTTGATTTTTTTTTAAGAAAATGAATGATATGGGATGGTGTGTTTGGATTCCTTCTTAGTAGATGTTCAAGTAATGTCATAATATCAAATGATTGTGGCGTGGTTCTAATTATTACGATCAAGTTCCAGAGCCTTAGAAAAACCGCAAGCCTGGGTGGAAAAGATGCGGACAATGTGAAAGCTCACATGCCATGAAATGGATTTGATTGAAGAAGATTTAGATTTTGTTTAGGAATATAAGTTGAAATACATAATAGATAGGTAATAGAACATTTGTGATTTTATTAAGGAACCAGATTACTATTCTTATATATATACATATTTCTATTACATTATATCTATCCCTTCCCTTTATTATATCATGGCTTCAATGACCTGCCACATGGATGAAACAATGATAAGCTCAATGGAAAAAGCAGTTTTGTAGTTTAAAATAAAAAGGGGGATTTACATACATGCCATCTAATATATCTCATATTACATTTCTTACACCTTAAAACTTTTATTTAAATGAGTACCACCTAAAAATAATTTGTGATAAAAAATATCACTTTGTTATGGCTCTCATTATTTTCCAATCAAAATTCATAGGTGCCCATTAAAACACTTGACTCCGCCTCGAGCTCTCCCTTCTTGCATGAGCATCACCCCTTTCTCTTCGCTTGCATCATCCTCATCGATTTCTTCTTCAGTGGCTTTCTCCTAAATTAAGGCCTTAATTCTTTGCCACCCCTTCGCTAAATTCTTCCCGATCTTTCCCTCCTCACCTAAGGCACTACTCCTTTCTCCTCCCACTTGCATTTTATACCTTTACCAAGAGCGCGTCGACTACTCTCAGCTGCTTTCATTTCTCACTTGCGGAATACGCAGCTACTTTTCTTTTAATACGCTAAATTCTCAACTCATCGCAACCCAAGTAGAGAGAGAATTTAATGCTCATAAATTACAGTTGGTGCAATATCTCAGTTTGGTAAAAACTCTTCTCGCCCGAATTGAAACATACCAGCTCATTCACATAATTCAGGAGCACAACACCTAAGTTGATGCCCTCTCCAAGCTTGCTACTTCAACAACTAGAGATCTCTATAAAAGAAGGTGTATTGAGGAGATAAATTTTCCTAGCATCAAAAGCTTATGGGTGATACTGTCAATAGATGACCCAAATGAGTCATCTTGGAAAGATTTCATCATCTCCTTCCTCCGAGATGAAACACTGTCAAATGATACTACTGCATCAATTCACCTTTGGCACATGGGTGCCAACTTCATTCTTATTGGGGATAAACTGTATAAAAAGACATTTTTAGGTTCATACCTCAAGTGTCTTCTTCTATCTAAAGCTGATTGCGCTCTGCGAGAGGTTCATTACGGAATATGTGGGGTATAGCTCTTACTCTTCAAATAATAAGACAATGTTTCTATTGGTTCACAATCAAGCAAGATGCATTAGATTTTGTGCAAAAATGCAAGTGTTGTTAATTATACTTCAATCTTACGCATACATCACCAATAGAACTCGTGTCATTTCAGAGTCATTGGCATTTTGTCTAATGTGGGGTAGATATCATGAGATTATTTCCAATATATACTTGATAACGAAAATTCATCATTTTAATTGTTGACTGCTTCACTTTGTGGGAAGAATCAGAGCCGCTCGTCAAGATCGCTGAAGTAAATGCCAAACAGTTTGTTTAGAAAAACATTATTTGTTGCTTCGGGCTCCCCGTCAAGATTATCACTGATAATGAGATTCAATTCTCTGAGAATGTGTTCATATCATTTTGCAAAGATCTTCACATCTAGCGGGTGCACACTACTGTAGCGCACCCCCAAATGAATAGACAGATAGGGGTGATAAATCAGATGGTGCTCAAGGGATTGAAGGCTTATCTTGAGAAGGCTGGAGGGACCGAGAAGTAGCGACCGGTCAGCATCGTTCTACCGAACTCCGTACTTTATGGGAGAGACTTTGGCTTGTGTATTACTTGCTCTAATGGCTTGGCCTGAATACCCCAAGGGCTAGAACAAGAGCCAACCAAAAATTTCTTCTTCCAATCCTTTATTTTGTTCGCTGCCTTGAGCATGTGAAGTTTTTTGCTCATTGAAAATATGAAAAATCCCTTCTTATCCACCTTGAATTTAAGGAAATGCTTGAATAGGCCAATGGATCATGAGATGCGCTCTTGACGACAGTAAAGATCGAAGATCATCACAACAACTATGGAGTTTGGTAGCACCTGCATCAGAATGACTCCATATGAGTTGAAGATGCTCAGGAGCTCGTTACATAAAGGTTTTCTTTAGGTCATATTTCAATTAGTCCTGATAGAAGGCCAGATCTCTACCCTTAACATTTGTCGCCCTAACCAACCCCGGAAAGATGCTCAGGAGCTCGTTACATAAAGGTTTTTTTAAGTTCATATTTCAATTAGTCCTGATAGAAGACCAGATATCTACCCTTAACATTTGTCGCCCTAACCAACCCCGGAATGTTCCAAAGGGTGACGTCGTCATACATATCGTACTTTCGCCACAACTGCTTCGCCTTGTTTTCTATCGATAAGGAGGGGACAATGCTCTTGATGGAGCCAAAGAGGGTGGGGAAGTACTTCTAAGCCATTTCAAAGAAAATAAAGAACGACCAGAAGGCAAAACAAGAGAAGATTTAACATTAAGCTCGGGTGCAAAAACTAGAACACATAAAGTGAGAAGCAACGGTTTCATACCTTATTTGTAGAGCAGACATGTAAAATGTGGCATCGCATAATGATAAGTCTTACACTAAACATTTTTTTTTAAATTTATTCAAATGTCATTTAACTTATAAATAACATTATTATAGGTCCAAAATAAAATGTTTTATGAGTTAGTCTACCAAGGCCTTAGTCTGCACGTACCCCCTCTGAGTTAACCTTCAGAGCACCATCGCCCCTTCTATCCTAAATTGTTCCATTCGATCAATATTGTAGTAGAATTTACAGGCTTGCAGACTCGTGAAGTACTCTCAGCTCACACAACACTTCAACCAGTCTGTTCTGCAAATAAGTTACCTCCACCTACAAAGCTGACAGGGTTGAGCCCAAGGACATCAAAGGGACTGAAAGATGAGTTAACCTTCAGAGCACCATCGCCCCTTCTATCCTAAATTGTTCCATTCGATCAATATTGCAGTAGAATTTACAAGCTTGCAGACTCGTGAAGTACTCTCAGCTCACACAACACTTCAACCTGTCTGTTATGCAAATAAGTTACCTCCACCTACAAAGCTGACAGGGTTGAGCCCAAGGACATCAAAGGGATTGAAAGCTCTCGCTCAAAATTGGTGGCCAAGCCTCCAAGCGCTCCTTTCAAAGAACCAATCCTCTCCGCGAAGCACTTGGTCTCCCTGTATGTTGCTCGATGGCCCCCAAGGGAAGGTGATCGTTGTTCGATCCGCTCTTGTTCAGTACCAATAGCTAGCAAAGGGTCGAACGACCGGTTTCACCCCGAAAGAACTGCCGACGGAATTCCCACAAGCTCACCATGCATATCGGACACTACAGCAAGAACAAACTACACAATATTTTTTGACTGACTGACATCCTAGTGTTCCTCTGACTCGACCAATTCATCTGTATAAGAATAATGCCAAGAAACTATTAACTATCGGTGGCAGCCAAAGAAAGCTTTACATACCCAAATATTTATCTATTGAGGAGAGGGTCACCAAACATCTTATCCCCCTCTCTTGCTGCAAAATGCCTTCAACTTCTTGCAGTAGTGGCTATAGGGAGACTCCGATCTAAGTTCCCTACGACCTCTTTCCACCCTCCTCCACGCCCGCAGCCAAAGAAAGCTTTACATACCCAAATATTTATCTATTGAGGAGAGGGTCACAAAACATCTTATCCCCCTCTCTTGCTGCAAAATGCCTTCAACTTCTTGCAGTAGTGGCTATAGGGAGACTCCGATCTAAGTTCCCTACGACCTCTTTCCACCATCCTCAACGCCCCTAGCAAGCGACCACTGCTGGCCCTCGGAGCTCACTCCCATGCAGGCTTGGGAATTGTGGTCCCTCAACGAGGAACTTTCGACATCTGCCCCTCAGGACTATTTTTCTTTCCTAACCCTAGTTGTCTATACAGATGTTGAGGGCCTCTAGCCTACTTTGGGAAGGATCTCAAATTGTCTGACATAGTTTAATTCAATTAGTTGGGGAAGAATAACAATGATGAATGCAATGTCAAGCCTGTGACCATAGTTATAAAATACGCTAGGCACAAAATTCAAAAGAAAAAAAATTATTAAATCAAATTTCTCAAATTTAGTATCAGCGAATGCTAATAATTTCTCTGTCCTTATCGTAGCTGTCATTTTCATGGGTAGAAAAATTCAGAGAGTTAATATGAATACTCTGATGTTGTTAGCATGGATCTCGAAGCAATTAAACAGCCTAGATGACAACCAGACGATCGAGGCGTTCTACCGCTCTACGACCAACTGCGTGATCAAGAATCCTATGTCGAAAGATCTGAACGACAAACCACGTATGCAGTTCCGACCGACTAGAGCGCCAATGGAAATCTTTAATTGCGGCCAATCGACCAACCACTTTTATAGCAGGGGATGAGATCATCACTTGACCAAATGCTTCCGCCGACGGACACAAGGCACAGTTGCCACTCGGCTGATCTCCTCGGTCGGCCAAATTAGGGCAAATCGGCAAAAAATTACTATCATATTAGAATTCAAATTGCAATATAAATATAGTTGAAATCTGTACAATTAATTGAACATCAAATGAATAAAGTACATATTTCATAACTACTCCTTCCTTTCTGTAATTGTACAAAGTATGTCTCTACAAATATGTGACAACAGTACAAATAAAGGGATGACCTCTATGGGTTTTCTCTCGACAATGAATTATGGGCTAATCATACTCTATCTTCCTCCTCCATCTGTTTCTAACTCTCAAGATGTGTTCACAAAAGACATTTTAGGATTCAATAGTCGGCTATCTGACTTTTATTAGGTTGCCTTTGAATTTCTTTGTTTGGCCTCATTTCTATCTGTAGCTTTGATATTTATAAAACATAATACTAATATTATATTATATGTACGTATTATCTTTCATTTCTTTTATATTACATTTTCATGCTTTTACTTTACTTGCGCACCCTTAAATGTTGGAGCTCTGAGCCCATGGTGATTCAGATATTATATGTACATATTATCTTTCATTTCTTTTATATTATATTTTAATGCTTTTAATTTATTTGTGCACCCTTAAATGCGGGAGCTTTGAGCCCATGGTGATTCGGACTGCCTAACGATTTGTTGAGTGTGTCGTTGCTCCTGAGTTGATTGACAGACAAGGTGGCTGAACCTGGAGATTATGGCTTGTGTTGAGTTTCTCAGCAAAAGGTGCAGTGTGCTGGTGCTTCTTGTTCACGGGTGAAGGAAAAAAAAAAAGGCAATTGGTGTATGGTCAACCAACTGGGTTTCCTTACGGTTGAGGGAGGTGGTCGATGTTACGGTGGTCTGCTGGACACAGGAGAAATTGTATTTTTGTAAATCTCCTTTTGGATTTAAAACAATGGTTGACCGAGCTATGTTGGCTACTACGATGGAGATGGCCAGGAAGGAGCGGAGCAACAGGCTAACACAAATACCCGAACGATCAAATGGTCGGTCAGTGGTTTTGACGACCAGAGATGGAATCGGGCGGCAGACAAAGACCACACTTTTGTTAGTTGGTCGGCTGATATAGGCAGCTGGACAGGGAAAATGTTGGTTTCCCGCAATCTTTTTCTAGGTTTCCTGCATGTGTTCCAGGACCACCAGCTTTCCCATGTCATCTTGACATGCTTCAACTCCGACAATAACGTTGTTAGGGTTAGGATTAGTGAGAAATTATTCTGTCATAAGACCTCACACTTTCCTCGGCACACCGACGAAGTAATGAGAGACCTCACGCTTTTTATGAGTTCGAGGAAGTTATTCTTCTGCTCTCATTTCCACATATTTATTGTTTGTCTTCAGACAAGTGTTCGCTCTTTCGACTTCGCAAGAGTCCCCGAGTGTTTGCTCTTTTGACTCCTAAAAGTCCCGAAGTGTTCGCCGAACTTTTTCATGACAACCACTTTGTGGTGCTTTACTCATAGCCACAACCTTTCAGCTCTAGATATTTCATACTGCGAGTTCCCTTGGGCCGAGTGCCACCCGAGGAATAAAATGTGGGGGCAAAGGGGGGAGAGGGGGGGAGAGAGAGAGAGAGACGAGTACTTGCCCCGTCGAAGCGAATGGGGTGTTCCTAGGCTCATGAACATAATTTATTTCACTCAAATTGTTGTGTTACAAAAGACGGGAGCTAAAAGCCCCTCTACAAGAAAGGGCCATTCTATTTATAGTAGATAGGATGATCAATAAATAAATTACAATGTTGCTCAAAGCTGGATATTTTAGCCTTTCTTGGGCATGCCCGAGCTGCTCATCTAGCATCCTTCTGACCATCTAACCTTCTTTCAGTTGTGTTGTACCCTTTACAATATATAAATGATGTCAACTTATTTGATAATGGATAAAGAAAGTTCTAACACTCTTTTGACGCTTTTTATAATATGGAAATGTGATATTTTTATGCTATTGACTTGAGAATGTTTCTTATATACTTTGTTTATATCCATATTTATTTGTTCACATCATTTATGCATAAGTCTATCACCACCATGCTCGAAGAGAGAAAAACCACTCTTTTGACGCTTTCTATAATATGGAAATGTGATATTTTTATGATATTGACTTGGGAATGTTTCTTATATCTTTTGTTTATATCCTTATTTATTTGTTCACATCATTTATGAATAAGTCTATCACCACCATGCTCGAAGAGAGAAAAACACTGTTTGTATATTTGTGGCTGGTGACCAATCAATTGGGTTGTCGACCGATAGAGCTTGCCGGCTAAAGAATTGAGGTGATAGATATTTACGTAAGGAAAATGCCTACCGATGGAGAGTACGGTCGGCCGCTGAAGGCATGGCTAAAAGAATGCCGACCAAAAAAAGGGGTCAGCGGAGAGTATGGATAAAGCTTCTTTAAAAAATCCTTTGTTGAATGTGGATGAAATGAATCAAGCAGGCCGGCGAGCCTCCTCAAACTCGTACATTAAAACTCGAGCTCGAACTTGATAAAATTAATCAAGTTCGAAATCAAGCTTGGAGTGGCTTGAACTCAATTCAAACTGGTTTACACCCCCTACATGGGGCTGACAAGATCATGGTTCGACACTTCTCATGTTGTGTAGGATTGCATACCTCAAAGCCTCATTAATTTCCTTCCTCTTCCAGACTTGTTTCCTCCTCACTGTAAGGTTATCAATTTCATTAGCAATCTCCGGCTCACCCATTAAGAAATTCTTAACAGTCTGAATGCGTCAATTGCAACTTGTAAGTTGATGGCTGATACGAAGCATCGCCATCTGCAGTTCCAAGTGGGAGATTAGGTATGGAATCTCTAAGATTTCTTCAATGATTTAAATCTCTCTTTCTGTTTGATGGGGACAAATTGTGTGATAGTTGTAGCGTTTTGGATCCCAATCATTAAAATTTCTACATCAGTTTCGCTTACCCGCCAAAAATGCTTGCCAAAAGAAGCCCATTCCATCCCTCCAAAATTTAGCCTTATCCATTACACAAGTACACATAACCGTTAATCTTGCCGTCGGCGGCCTTTTGAAGAATTTGTCCTGAGCCTCGGGAAAAACTCACCATCGGCGGTGTCGATGGCGCTGTCGATGCCCTAGTTCAAATCTCCACATTTTGGTCCTTTTTGCTCCAAATCTGCTCCTTTTTGCATGTTTTTGCTCCATTGACTCTAATTCATCATTCCTGCAACAAAACATCAAAAATACCTTTCTTTAAAGTGAAATATCATCAAAAACACCAGGTAACATAAAGAATGACAAAGAAGATGGCCGACAAAGGAAGGCCTACCGATGGAGAGTACGGTCGGCCCGCTGAAGGCATGGCTAAAAGGATGACGACCAAAAAAAGGGGTCAGCGAAGAGTATGTATAAAGCTTCTTTAAAAAATCCTTTGCTGAATAAAGCTTATGTGGATGAAATGAATCAAGCAGGCCGGGGAGCCTCCTCAAACTCGTACATTTAAACTCGAGCTCGAACTTGATAAAATTAATCAAGTTCGAAATCAAGCTTGGAGCGGCTTGAACTCAATTCAAACTGGTTTACACCCCCTACATGGGGCTGCCAAGATCATGGTTCGACACTTCTCATGTTGTGTAGGATTGCATACCTCAAAGCCTCATTAATTTCCTTCCTCTTCCAGACTTGTTTCCTCCTCACTGTAAGGTTATCAATTTCATTAGCAATCTCCGGCTCACCCATTAAGAAATTCTTAACAGTCTGAATGCGTCAATTGCAACTTGTAAGTTGATGGCTGATACGAAGCATCGCCATCTGCAGTTCCAAGTGGGAGATTAGGTATGGAATCTCTAAGATTTCTTCAATGATTTAAATCTCTCTTTCTGTTTGATGGGGACAAATTGTGTGATAGTTGTAGCGTTTTGGATCCCAATCATTAAAATTTCTACATCAGTTTCGCTTACCCGCCAAAAATGCTTGCCAAAAGAAGCCCATTCCATCCACTCCACTCCAAATACTATTCCCTCTCTTCCCATACATTTCTCTCCCAACCATCAACACAATTGAATCTACCACCAGATTCGCATCTCAAAAATCTATGCCTCAACGGCCGACTAAAAGAAGCTCTTTTTGAAATGTCCATTCTTGGAACAGATGTGAGGTTTCGAGGCTATGATGCTCTTATCACAGAGTGTGTTAACCAGAAAGCTTTAAGGGAAGGACAACTAATTCATTCTCACATGATCAAGACTCATTATCGAGCACCGACGTACCTAGATACAAGGCTGCTGATTATGTATGATATGTGTGGGAAGTTAGATGATGCACGGGAAGTGTTTGATGGAATGCCACAGAGGAATATTGTGACATGGACGGCGATGATTGCGGCTTATTCTCGTAGGGGTCTCCAATCTCTGGCCATTTGCCTCTTTCTTTGTATGCTGAGAACAGGTATGAAGTTTTGCATTTTTGTGTTATGAATATATGGATTGATTTGTATGGATATAACAGGTATTATATGGATTGTTTTTTATTACTCTTTTTGAGTTTCCGGATTTGCATGAGATCTAATTGCATGCCCAATTAACAATTTTGTATGATTTACTATATTTTTTTAGTATTAGAAGTTTGATAATTAGTTAATTTACTCCGATTTATGATCAACAAATTTATTTGGCAACTCTGGCTCAATATGATCTTGTGCAAACTAAATGAAAGCTATGGGGACGACTAGAGGGGAGATATTATTGCAAGTTTCGGGATAGTATTGGATATTTATAAAATTTTTTATCATATAAATCAAGATATTAATATGATATTAATGTAGAGCATTTTTCTCACTTGTGCGAGTTTTACGCAACCGGTCTTGGCTCATGGTTCATTCTACCACATGTTCTTTTTCAACATATGAAGTACATGCTCCTTTTATAATTACATTCTGCTATGGCGAAATGCTCTTCATTATTTGACTATTACCCCTGTGATATTCTTGGTCCAAGCATTCACATCTTGGACTTCGAAGCGCTTCTCCATGAGCTCAATTCTATGCATCATGCTGTCCAATACTTCTTACCTAATGAGCTCAATTCAATTCAATCCATAGGGAGTGAAAGCTGAAACCAAGAATGGTTGCTGGATTCATTTTTGGACAATGGAGAGCTTGTTGTACCATAAAAAAGTTGAAGCCAAAGATGTACAATTAGGATAAGAGAATGAATTTAACCTTATGCTTATAGCCTAGTAAGCTTCTCATCATGATCCATATTTGAAGAGTATGGGCCTACAAATTTGTGGTGATACATGTTCTTTTTTAATTAAAAAACAATATTGAGTCCTAAGCATGCCCTATCTCATAATCTTTTATTATTTTCAGAGTGTTGTGTTTGTTCTATTTCCTTATTTGTGTGTCATAAATAATTAATTGTTTACCACAAATGTATCTAGTGGATTTTTGTTTATTTGGTTTCTTTGCCATGAGTTATTGAACATGGAACATTCCTAATCTCCTGGGCTTCAAGTCCAGGTGTTCCTTTCTTTTGAAATAGGCCTACTTGTCTATTCTTTATACATTCTCTTCATTTCTTGTAAAGTTTGATAGAACTTATTTTAAAAAACATGCTATGTTAACCCTTGAAAAATTAATGTTTTAATTCATAGATGAAATTATTTTTAATTTCCATCATGAAGTTCTGAGTCCTACTTCCTAACACTTTATAGGTATTTTTCCAAACGAGTTTACGTTGGCTACTGTGCTAGCCTCTTGCATTGGCCCTCATGGACTTGAGCATGGAAGGCAAATGCACTCTCTTGTTATCAAAAACAACTATAACTCACATGTATATGTTGGGAGCTCTCTTCTTAACATGTATGCAAAAGCTACTAAAATCCATGATGCTAGAAGGGTCTTCGAAGTCCTTCCCGAGAGAGATATTGTTGCTTGCACTTCTATTATTTCTGGTTATGCCCAATTAGACCTCGATAGTGAAGCCTTGGAAATGTTTCAAAAGCTTTATAATCAGGGAATGGAATGCAACTATGTAACATTTGCTAGTCTTCTCACTGCTCTAGCTCGGCTTTCGGCATTGGAGTATGGTAAGCAAGTTCATGGTCTTGTTATTCGACACCAGCTTCCATTTTATATTGTTCTGCAGAACTCTATGATTTATATGTATGCGAAATGTGGCTTTCTCTTGTATGCTAGGAGAGTTTTCGACTACATGCCTGAGAGAACTGTAATTAGTTGGAATGCAATGTTAGTGGGATATGGTGACCATGGTTTGGGGAGGGAGGTGATGTCTTTGTTTAAGTCCATGAGAGATGTGAAGTCAGACTCTGTTACTTACACAGCTGTTTTATCAGGATGCAGCCATGGAGGATTGACTGATGAAGGTTTGGATATTTTTGATAGCATGGTTAAGGACAAAGAAATTGAACCCGAAATTGGGCACTATGCGTGCGTCATTGACCTTCTTGGACGTGCTGGGAGAATAGAAAAAGCTCTCGAGTTCATCACGAATATGCCATTTGAGCCGACGATTGCAATGTGGGGTTCATTGCTAGGTGCTTGTAGGGTTCATGGGAATGTTTCAGCTGGAGAATATGTTGCTCAAAGACTTCTTTCGATTGAGCCAGAAAATGCTGGAAACTATGTGATTCTTTCCAATATTTATGCTGATGCTGGAAGATGGGACGATGTGGTAAATGTGAGAGAAATGATGAAAGACAAGACAGTAATTAAGGAACCGGGAAAAAGTTCGATCAATCTAAATAAGACGATTCATACTTTTCACTCCGGCGATCGCTCGCATCCTCAAAAGGATGAAGTAAATGCGAAGGTGAGGGAGTTGTGTGAGAAGATTAGAGAGATTGGCTATATTCCTGACTTGAGCTGTGTGTTACATGATGTAGATGATGAGCAGAAGGAGAGGATATTGCTTGGTCATAGTGAAAAGCTGGCAATAGCATTTGGGCTGATGTTTAGTTCTCAACATGGGATTCTGAGAGTAACAAAGAACCTAAGGATTTGTGTTGATTGCCACAATTTTGCGAAGTTGGTTTCGGAGATTACCACAAGAGAATTACTGGTGAGGGATAGTAAACGTTTTCACCATGTGGCAAATGGTTCATGCTCCTGTGGAGATTTTTGGTGATTGATATTTTGATTGATGACGCTAATAAAGCCTTAGTTTGTGCCATGGAATTTGATCTCACCAACGGATAGAAGTAAAAAAAGTAAACACTTCAGTGTCATATTGTGATTAATTTATAACCATGATTCTAACTGGCTCTATGGTTGAGTAAATTTTCGATATGGACGTAAAAAGGGGGCATTTACATAACCACCCATTTTCTAAGTAGTTGCATATCTAACTCCTAAACTTTACTTTTTAACATTTATGCCACCTAAATCTTTCATATCACATCGAAAATATCATTATTTTAACTTTTAAAATGTGAAATTTACTTTTCATGTATAGATAAAGTGACATGTGTGTGTGTGTGTATATCACATATGTAAATACATATTAAAATGTGAAATTTACTTTTCATATATAGATAAAGTGACATGTGTGTGTGTGTATATCACATATGTAAATACATAGGAATTAAGTGGCTATATGTTGTATTATTGCAATTTAAGTACATTTGATGGAGTAATGGAATGTAGCTGTTAATCTTTTCATTTAAGCTGTTTATGTGATTCATTCGACATTGCACTTTATTTTGTGTTGTGTTTTGATAAAATAATATTGACATTAAGTACTTTTAATTATATTGTTTTTTTTAATAATTTATATAAAAAAAACATGCATGCTCATGATGCACATGTCCTAGTTTTTATTGCTGTCTTTTCTCTGTATTCCTGTCATGTGCGGATCTTGTTTTTGTATATGTGCTTCATATATTGTTTTCTTTTGTTAGTTGAAGGCTCCCTATTAGAATTCTACACACACTAATAATTCAATAAAATAAAATTAAAGATGCTCATGCCTATTTATTGAAGGAACTTGCAAATTACAATTAGGAGTGTAAAAGAGTTGAGTCAACCTAGAGTTACACTAAACTCGAGCTCGACTTGTGAGATATATGATTGGCGCTAGCTCGAGCTCGACTCGAGCTCATGACATGAGCTTGACTAGAGCACATGTTTGAATCGTCTTAGTAATACATGGCTCAATCTCAACTTGAAAGCTCAATTTTGATGAATGTATATTATAATTTTATGGAATAGTATAAGCTTTATTTATTCAATGAAAAGTAAGATTAATTAGTAAATTAGTTAATGTAATCGCGCTTAATCGATAAGCTCGCAAGCTAAGTCAGGCTAAGCTCGAGTTATGAACTCCTTAGCAAGTCTAGTTCGAGCTCACTCAGTTCACTTGTGCCCCTAATCACAATCTATATGTTTCACGCGAAGCTTTCGCATAATGATCTCAAGAATGAGCAAGAAATTGTTTTTTGTTCATGTGAATCGCTAAAAGATCTATTGTGATCCCAATGGAAAGGCAAAATTAATAAGATAGTAAGTAATACTATTATCAGACCTAATATAAGAACCAAGCCCAAAAATATTATAAGATATTCAATAGTTAGAGGTAAATTATTTGCATGTGATAATGTAAATTTTAAATTTTGCTCAATGTACCTTGCCACTCAAATTAACAGCCCTTTTTAGCATAAATAAAATGATTCCATCTATAGTAAGATTTTATAATCAATATGATTATATGAGCAAAAGTTTGAACTAAAGTATGTTATTTTTTATGGGAGTCTATACTAGTTGAATTATGATCTATCTGTAAATCATATCCTAGGAATAGAGTGTAAGACGAGAGTGAGAGATAGAGATAGAGATAGAGAGAGAGAGAGAGATGCATGGTAATGAATAATAATTTGTGAGGAGAATGTAACCCTTTCTTTATGTAATGATCCACTATTTATAAAGAAAGGGGGTATAATATATGAAGTTATATTTATGCGTTTGCTTTAGTGGGGGTATATAAGTTATTCTTAGTATTTAAACTTTGCGGGCCCATAGCTTGGTTGCTCTCTGGCTTGGTTAACTGAACAGGTGGGGTACAATTAACCGCAGTATCATTGTCTCTCAATATATATTCCATCGCGATTAACTAGCCTTAGTACCATAATAGGCACTGCCGGTGAACTGGGTTGAATGGGCTTAATAAGCATCGTTGGTCAGCAACGTATGGTATGCGTCACCGGTTGGTTGATCTCCTTCTAACAAAGGGTTGGCAAGGTTGACCGAATCAGCTTAGTTTTGTCGATCAGATAGTCAAGTCACATCGTCGAACCTCGATCTCTGATGAGCAACTCATCTTGATAGAGCAAAGTTAGTTTATCGAGTAGAGAGTAAATCTTTGTTACCTGGCTACCCTTAGACAAAGAGATCCTGAGGGATGACTAAGAGTTGTTCTATTGATTCTTGATGATGTTTAGCGAGACTGTTGGATGTTTCCAATCCAATTGTAGGACCTGAGGGGTCAGCTCCTCCCTTAGGATGGTTTTATTTTGGGGAATGGTTTGGATCACCCCGTACATCGCTTGTAGTCGAACCACTCATGTTCGAGCCGTTCGGTTTCCTTGCTTGGTCTTGGCCTTGATACGCTGGTCGGATAATTGGGTCTTTAGGTATTTTGTTGGTGGGCCTCTTCTTTAATATGTCCTTTCTCATTTGTACAGTTAGATCTCCTCGAGATTCATGCTGGCACTTTTTCTATATATATATATATATATCTCCTCGAGATTTATGCGCGCGCTTTTTCTATATATATATATATATATATATATATATATAGTTATCTAATTCTTTTGCTTCTTAGAACTCGTACTACAATAAGAACAAGTGCACTTAATGTAAAAAGAAAATTTCCCTCATGACCGATCAATGATACAATGATTGAACTCAATGGGTTTTGTGCCCTTTGTTCCTATAAATAGGGTGTCAAAGACTAATCTCCATCATCTTCTTCTCATCTCTTTCTTGTCTCGGTTGACTAAATTCCAAGCGCCACCATGGTGAACGAGATCCGTCTTTGAAATCCAATCCCTATAATAGGGCAGCATGCCTTAAGGCTCTTAAAGAGATGAAAGCGCAATATTATTTAGAGGGTGATGTGTGATTGTCCAACTCGCTCCACCACCGACAGCGGGTGGTCACTCAAACAGAGGCTCATGGTCCATCAGGCAATTTGCTTGCCAAACTTTCTATCCCAAATCTTTCCGAGTCTCAAACCCTACCTACTAATTGGGACGCACAGGGTGTTGTTGGTACCATGGCTTTGCTCGAGGTGCAAGAAACTACCGATGCTAAATTGTCGCTTTAGGCGCATGAGAAAGTTGGTGAGGGCGAGGTGTCATTTAAAAAGTTTAAGTGAGATCGAACCTTTTGTATAAGGGGTTTCAGTTTTGCTAATCTAGTTTTTATTCTTCTCTAAAATTCTTTTTTTTTATATTGTCCATTGGTGCAGCCCGGCTTGTTATGGAGATTACGATCGTCGATTCACCTTCGATGGACATTAATATGGATTCAATCGCAGTTCCTGTGGTTGTGGATCAAGGACAGTTTGGAGGAGATCAACTCTAAGGCTTCAATGAAGGCACGAACCATCTGGGTGGTCCTAGCTAGGCCCATAGGAAAGCAACTGATGGATGCTAAATATCCCTTGGTTCGTTGGTGCACCGTTTGCATGAGATGGAGGACTCCTTTGGTCGAATAGGCTCCCTCAAGCCATGGAGATGCGTGGGAATTTGTCCTGTGTTGAGAAGGTTGATCGGATGGGAAGGGGCCCTTTGTGAGGAAACAAATGCCCTTAACGAGGAAATGGTCGCACTTTGCGCAGGGCTACTGGCCATCCGGGAGGCATCTTCCATGTTTTGGATCTAGGTAGAAATTGGTTGAGTAGACCGAATTTAGTTATGGAGAGAGGTTTTATATAAAAGGCTACTTCAGCAACGACATGTCTAGGTTGAAGCAGTGAGTGAAATCCTTAAAAATTATTTCACCTTGGAGTAGCTTCCAAGTAGTTGTAATTTTTAATTTTCGAAATAAAATTAAATTTTTGTCTTTAATCATGTGTCAATGTTCTATGAGTGTGGTTTTGAGATTGACTAATTATGCTCCTGCTCCTACGATGGTTCATCTTCTCTTCTCACCTTATAAATAATGGTGAGGGGGTTTTGCATCACACGATGATTTCTTCTTCCACTTCCAGGCTTCCCTCTCCCAATCTTCTTTTCTGTGTTTCTTTTCGATGGCTCCCAAGTTCTCTTCACTATTCTTTGGCTCAATTTCGACAAAAGAGATGTTCATAATGACTGCAAACCAGGTGGAGCGTCTTCATAAAACTTGTGTTTATGATCTAGTCGTTCAACTCTAAGTGGTAGAAAGCTATGACTGAGTGACAAACAAGTTCAGAGAAGATCTTGTGTTATACCGAGACCAATTCAAAATTAGCTTGTGGTTGGAACTCCACTATGAACTCTGAGCGATCTTCAACAGTTACAGGTTGTTCCTGCACATGTCATGTCGAACTCCATAACGACAATCATGACTTACATGATCTTTTGACGCTGGAAAGACATATCATGATTGACAGACCTATTCATTCACATGTACACATTTCCGATCGGTAGGGACAGTTATGTCCAGTTCTCGGGCAACTATAGATTTTAGCTACTATAGTTGAAAAACAAAATCAAGGACTGTAAGATGCGCTTCCCGATCGACTCATTAACTGGTGATTAGGGTATATGTGTCCTCCTGATAGGTGGTGTAGTTAATAAGGTGAAGTCTCTATAGGATCTCCTCAGTGCTTATGAAGCAATAATAGAGAGTTTGCAGTTGTTGTGTTTCAAGTATCTTGAACCATAAATTCTCAAAAGGGTGTTGTGGTCAAAAAAATTTGGGTTAATGACAAAGGAGCTCTGGGTTGCCTCAGAAGCCCAAGAAGTTTCATGAGAGAAAGTGATTGCTACTCAAGCTATTGAGAAGAAACCATGAGAGAAGGCTACCCTCTCGAAAGCTGCTATGGTTGCTGGTCAATCAACATATGTGATTGTTCATGTCGAGGTTAAAACCGAAGGTAGGGAGTTTGTTTTTTTATGTATCCTTAACCACTCTTATTGTTTAGAAAGTTTCCACAAGTGAATTAATCATTGTTGAGATGAAAGCCAAAGATTCTTTATAAGGTGTGGACACTTCGAAAGCACGCCATGAAGAAGATGTTAGGACACCAAGTGTGGTGGCGTCGAGCAGTTTCGAGGGAGATGCTTTGGTGGGGTAAAGCTAGTCGAGCATCTCCCATTAGTCTGATTGAGATTGAGTATGATTCTAATCATGAGCCTAGGCCAGTGTCTTGCAAAGAAGAGGTACCCCACTAGGAGGGGAAGGCCCT